CAACCTCTCCCTCCATTCCTGTTCCTTGTAGACCACTCCTCCCTGCCGCACCCCGAGGCCCGTCGGAAGGGCGTGCTGGGCGTTTCGCCCGAGGCTTCCTCACCATTCGTGGCCCTGGAGCTTCACGAGTGCCAACAGCTCGACAGATGGAGGGCGGGCGGTTTCCAACGTGCGGCTCTCGCCTCAGCGCCGCGCGCACTCGTCTCAAAAACTTGCAGCTTGGTTCCACGGACCGAGGGCGGGCCGTTCTCGACACGTGGCGCTCGCCTTCGCGCCGCGGGCACTCGTCTCGAAACGATGCAGGAGAGGATTGGGGGCGGCTCCTGTTCAAAATGTGGCTCTCGCCTTAGCGCCACGCACATGCGTCCGAAACACTTGCAAGAGCTTCACGGATCGAGGGCGGGCCGTCGTCAAGGTGTGGCTCTGGCCTTGGCGCTGCGCGCAGTCGTCTTAAACATTGCAAGCTCTCACGGATTGGGGACGGCTCGTTTTCAAAATGTGGCTCTCGCCATTGCGTCGCGCACATGCGTCCTAAACGCGTGCAAGAATTTCACGGATTGAGGACAGGCCGTTCTCAACATGTGGCTCTCGCCTCAGCGCCGCCGACACTCGTCTTAAACATTGAAAGATCTCACGGGTTGGGGGCGGCTCGTTTTCAAAATGTGGCTCTCGCCTTAGCGCCGCGCGCATTCGTCTTACATATTTGCAGAAGCTTCACGGATTCCCACGGACAGCGCACCAGCAAGTGTGTTTTGGAGCGGTTCGGAATTGTCACGGCGCAGCAGCTACAGCCATTCGCGGCGTTGAAGTCCCAGGAATGGTGTCCTGGCACGATTTACGATCGTCGAGACGCAACAGTCAAATTGATTCGTGGCGCTGGAGTTCCTAGAATTGTGTTTTGGCATGCTTCAGGGTATTCAAACGGTTGTCTCCAAACTGGGCACATCCCTCAGTGGAAATGAATCCTTGCAGGGGCCTGTGAAGAGAGAGCTTGGAGGGAGGGTTAATTCCAACATCGTTGATGAGTCTTGGGCTTGCACTGGTCCTCCTCCTCCTCCTGGTTCTGATCCTCGCCCTCGTCCTCCTCCTTGTGCTCGACATCTTCTACTCTCTTCCTCCTCCCCCTCCTCCTCCTCCTCCTCCTCCTCCTCCTCCTCATCATCATCATCATCAGCATCATCAGCATCATTAGCATCTCCTCCTCGAGCCTCCTCGATCCTCGAGCCCCTCTTCGATCCTTCTCTTCGATACTCTTCTTCTTCCTCCTCCTCGATCCTCCTCCTCCTCGATCCTCCTCGATCCTCGATCCCCCTGCTGCAGCCTGTCCTCCATCGAGCACGCGTACGAGAGGCGCACCGACATCGGCGCGTGGAAGGCCTCGCCCGGCACCAGCGCCACGCCGTGGCGCTCGAGCAGCGCGGCGCAGAAGTCCTGCAGGACGGAGCCAGGACGAGGACAACATCGGGTGGGGATACATCCCAGACCCCCTCGCGTCGCGAAAAAAGCGTGGCGGGACGTGTTTCTCGATTCTCGGACTCTGGCAGCCCTTCCGGGGCCTCGGGACTGTCAAAAAACGACGAGGATAAAGTCGCGTGGGGGCCCAAACCTCCTCGCGCTGTGGAAAAACACTTTTCTCCCTCTGGGGGCCCTCGCCGGGCGTCGGGACCGTCAAAAAACGACTCAGGATGAAAAACTGGTCCCGCGGAAGGGGGTCCAGACCTCCGGGGTCGACGTTGTGGAAAAATCACGACGTCGGGGGTTTGGGGATACATCGAGAATCTCTAAGATCAGGCGGCTCTGGAGGATGTCTCGGGCGCCGCGGCCTTCTCAGAGCGTGCCAGAACGCTCTGTGACAGCGGTCTGGCATGGTCTTAGGGGGCCACATGCGAACCCTACCCCTACCCCCCACGATTTTTGAGGTGGAGGGTGGGGTTCACTTCGCTCGGGAGCTCCCGAACGAAGTGAACCCCACCCTCCCCCTCAGAAATCGTGGGGGGTAGGGGTAGGGTTCGCATGTGGCCCCCTAGCTCCGGAACGGATTTGCCCGTCCCGCGATCCTGCCCGGACAGCCCCCGCTCCCAGAGCACGCCGGACAGGTTCGCAAAGGCGTAGAAGGCACCCTCCGGCAACGGGCAGGCGACCTCACGGGCGACGGGCATATCATCACCCTGAGCGCTGGGCGCTGCTATTCGCTTCCTGCCAGGCGCTCTCGCCCGGCTGCGGGCCCCAGGACCACCACGGCTCGATCCGACCCGGAGCATGCCGCAGGGAGACGGGGTCTGGGGCTCTGGCCGTGACTTCTCGCCGTGCTGCATATGTTTTTTCTCGCAGCGTCGGATCTCAGGGAGCCTCGTGGCTCGCTGAGGAAGCCCTGAACCTAAACAAATACCTGCACCTCTGGGGAGGGCGACTGGTGCTTCCGCCAGTTTCCCCCGGCGAAGCCGCCCTCGCTTCCCTTCCGCCGTCCGCCGAGGACGAGGTGCCAACTTCTCGATCCCTGGAGGGCGAGGCCTTTGTCTGGCGTGCGCCATCTGCACGTCGGTCGAAGAAGTAGGTCAAAACATGCAGTAGGGCGGCGGATCAAGTAGATTGGGCTCGGGCGCTCCCAGAGAATCACAAAACACGGCAAAAGCATGTCGGTCCTTGAAGTAAGAAGGCGCTTGAAGCAGATCGGGATCTGGGGGTCCAGGAAAACCGACTTTCAACAACGGGCGGGTACCCGTGCCCTCGCATGACGGGCCACTTGTCCACCACCGCTACCACGGGTAGGACGGGGGAGAAGGGAGGATGGGGAGGTCGTCGTCGTCGTCCTCCTCCTCCTCCTCCTCCTCCTCCTCCTCCTCCTCCTCCTCCTCCTCCTCCTCCTCCTCCTCCTCCCTCTCCTACCTATGGCCGTGGTGGTGGAAAATCGGTCCATCATCGCAGTCTGCACACCGAGGCGCGATCCCGCGGGTGCGCGACCCCGCGGGCGCGTGCCGCGCGACCCTCCTCCGCGCAGGGCCGCCCTGCTCGTCATCCACCAGGCCGCAGCCCCCCGACGCCCAGGCCGCGAGGCCGTGGACATGCACATTTTGATGGACCGATCTTCCACCACCACTACAGTAGGTAGGAGAGGAGGGAGGAGGGGGAGGAGGAGGAGGAGGAGGAAGAGGAGGAGGAGGAGGACGAGAACGAGGAGGAGAAGGAGGAGAAACAGGAGGAGGAGGAGGAGGAGGAGGAGGAGGAGGAGGAGGACATCCCCATCCTCCGTATGACAGCGGTGGTGCACAATCGGCCCATCATATTTGCTTCCCGCCCGCGACGACCCCGGGTATCTCGCGCAGTCTCTTCACCGTGTAGTCGCGCTTCTCCCTGAGCTCCTGCAGGCGCTCCCGCAGCCACTCCGCCTGGTCGCTGCGCAGCGCCGCCAGGCCGGCGCGCTGCGAGACGCTGGAGGCACAGGAGGTGATCTGGCCCTGCAGCTTCGTCGCCGCGGCCGCCACGGCCTTCCGCGCGGCGAGGTAGCCGAGCCGCAGCCCGGTCATCGCGAAGCCCTTGGAGAAGCCGCCCACGAGGAGCGTGCGCTCCTGCATGCCCTCCAGCGAGGCGAAGCACACGTGCGGCGTGTCGAAGACCAGCTGCTCGTAGATCTCGTCGGCCAGCACGTAGATGTGGGCGAACTCGGGCCGCCGCAGGACCTCGGCGATGGCCTCCAACGACTCGCGCGGCAGCACGGCCCCCGTGGGGTTGCACGGGTTGCACAGGACCAGCACCTTGCACCGGCCAGGGTCCACCTGTGACTACCCACCAGACCACCCCAACCCAACCCGAAGACCCGAATTTCGGGTTGGGGGGGGTAAGGGTTCCACATGTGTTTTTTCGATGTTTCCCGACCCCCCCCCCCACTGGAAATCGAGGTTAAATCTGAGCCTTCGGGTTGGGTTGGGGTGGTTTGGTGGGTGGTGAGGTACCTGGAGCGCCTGCTCCAGGTGAGCGGCGGTCAGCAGGTAGCCCTCCTCGGCGGTTGTGGTTATGGACACGGGCTGCGCCTTGCAGAGCTGCGCGATGTCGTGGTAGCTCACCCAGCAGGGCGTCGGCACCAGCACCCTGTCCCCCGGGTCGCACACGGCCATGAAGGCCTGGTAGATCGCCTGCTTGCCGCCGTTGGACACGCAGACCTGTGCCGGGTCGTAGGCTGCGCCCTTCTTGTCGCGCAGGTAGTCGCAGATGCCCTTCCTGAGCTCCGAGTCCCCCTGCACGACGGTGTAGTGCGTGTGCCCCTCGTCCCCGGCTTTCCCGATGGCGTCCAGCACCACGTCGGGGGGCTGGTAGTCGGGCTCCCCGATGCAGAGGGCGGAGTTGACACGGCGGCCGCTGTCCTTGAGCCTCTTGCTGAGGGCCTGCACTGCGGCCGTCTGCGACTCCGAAATGCGCTTCACCATCGAGCTAATGCGCAGGGACTCCTCTTTACTGGGGGCTGGCAGCGCGAGGGGCTGTGCGTTCGCGATCTCCGCCGACTGTATCTTGAGCTGCCCCCGCAGGTCGGTCTCGATGTCGCTGAAGGCGAGCTTCAGCTTGGCCATCGTGTCCATGGCGTTCGCGTTGTACTTGAACAGCCCGTAGAACAAATCGAACGAGTCCGCGCAGGTCGTGTCCACGACTTTCAGCAGAGCCTTGAAGCCTTTCAGGTCGAGAGAGGTCGGCGAGCAGCCCTGGGCGCTCAGGATGCGGCCCATCAGATGCGTGAGGAACTGTAGGCCGATGTTTGAGTTCTTACCGCGGCTCCCTCGACGCAGTGCTGTCTCCATCCAACTCAAGCAGATCGCCGAGGAGGGACCGAAATCGACGAGGAGAACACCCTGGCGGCCGAGCTGGTCGGCCGACGCTGAAAAGCCGTGGTGATGAACAGACAAGCATCGTTAACGACTGTCCCAGCGCCTCAGACACGGATGAGGCTCGTCGATCAAAATCACAACAAACGACTAGCGGTAACTACTCTAACAGATAATGTCCTGAACGACCGGCTTTTTAGGATGAGGGAAAGGGGTCGGATGAGGGAAAGGGGTCCTGAAGAAACCTACATGCACCCCAAGGCCCTCACTGGGACTGGCGTTTCATCCTGAATCGACGACGGACCTGGGTCCAAAGAAGACGCTGTCGATCATAGTTGCCGTACTCTAGACTGACATCCACTCGCCTGAACCCATCTATCTTCCGGTCCATCTGATTGCTGCGATGTCTTGTATGATTCAGTTCGTCGTATCGCTTGCATCCTGATGTTTGATATCACTGCCAAAGGTATTGTATGACTAACCAGTGCCAGCAACATCTCTCGATCTCTCTTTCTCTCTGTCTCTCCCTCTCTCTCTGTCCAAGTCGCTTTCTCTCGCTCCCTCTCTCTCACTCTCTCGCTCTCTCCCTGTCTCTCTCCCTCCCTTCTCTCTCTTCATGGCGGGGAACAAGGAGCCGGGAGCTTCTCATAGCTCATCCGTGGGGGAACCGGGAGACGGGGGCGCGGGGAAGACTCGACCGGCATGCGCGGTGGGACCGCTGCGGGATTCCACACCCGCGCCGCGCTGGCCTGCGAGTCCGCGGAGAGCTGGTCGTGCTCCTCGGAGGACATGCACACCATGCGGCACCTGGCCCATGCGCCGAATGGGGGAGGATCACCGCCCAGAAACGCGGCAGCTGCGACGGCAATGCTGGAAGCCTCATGGATCGCCACGGAGCGAAAACAAAATACAGAAAACATGATAAAATACCGTTCCGTTGCCACGAGGGGGGCACGGTTTGTCCGTCCTCCTCTGTGCGGAGACCCAACAATGGGAATCGCCACGGAGCGAAAGCAGAAGAGACGCAGCGTGAGAGGGAGCCGTGAGTGGTGCGCCCCCCCTCCTCCAGCGCGCGAGCGCACGCCCGAGGCCGCGCCCGACGACGGCTCGTTACGCCCCGCCTTTCCACACCCTGGATCGGGAAACGGTGTGCCGCATGTTTGGTGGCGGCTCGTGCGTCTGCTCTCTGGCTTGTTTTGGCCGATCTTTCATGTCTGCACGCACGTGCGATCCCATTTGTCCCGTTCTCGCACGCCATCCAGGAAGAACGATGATATGGCGGGTTCCCGAAACCTTGAACCAAACAACCTTACCATCAGGTCGGGCGTGTCCTCCTACAGGCGGACTTTTGGGCCAAAATTGAAAAGTACCCCCATCCACAAATGCTCAAGAATAGTCAAAACACCGTCCCCAGACTATCTTTGTTGGACTATTTTTGAACATCCCTCCTGTAGAGGGACAGACCCTCCTGCAGGCAATTTTGGCTCCCGCCGGCTTCCGCCGCCGCCGGCGGAGCCGCCGCCGTCTCATGCGGGACGGGAAAACGACCACAGCCGCTGCTTCTTGTTTGCGCCGCCTTCCAGCCGGCCGACAAAGAAGCAGTGGCTGTGGTCATTTCCCCTGGAGCCAAGCTTGACGAAAATGACCACAACCACTGCTTTGTGTCTGCTGGCTGGAAGGAGGAGGCGGAGGAGGCGGAGGAGGAGGAGGAGGGGGAGGAGGGGGAGGGGGAGGAGGAGGAGGAGGAGGAGGAGGAGGAGGAGGAGGAGGAGGAGGAGGAGGAGGAGGAGGAGGAGGAGGAGGAGGAGTCCGCCGGCCCTCCGCGCGCCAGCTCCTGCGCCCCTCGAGGGCGAGGCCCCGCCTGGAGCGCCTCCCACGGCCGGAGCCACGCGGCATGAGAGGCCTGGGCGTGGGCACCACAACCCGCAGGGGGGGCTGCCTCCGCAGGGGGCGCGATGCTCCTAGATAGTTGTTGTGGTAAAGATTTCGGTCGCCTTGGAAGCTACGATGTTACCACCATCACCGAGATCGGGACCTTCGTCCTTCGGTGGGGGTGCCTCCGCAGGGGGCTGCCTCCGCAGGGGGCGCGATGATCCTAGAATCTAGGATCATCGCACCCCTGCGGTCCTAGACCAGGAACAAGAGAGATCTGGGACCTGGATCTCTGTTGTTGTGGTAAAGATTTCGGTCGCCTTGGACGCCACGATGCTACCACCATCACCGAGATCGGGACCTTCGTCCTTCGGTGGAGGCACGCCGCCGATATTGGTGTCGGTGTCAACCTCTGGGCCTGCGAAAGTGGTAAGAGCTACCGCCAGAGCCGCACCTGCCATCGCTGGGCACGCGCCCCTGGAAGGCAAGGAGAGACGAGGCCCACGAACGAACCTCAACGCGGAAACGCTGGTGTCGGGCTTGGTCACGTCATCTTCTCCTCATCTGGATCTTTCAACGGAGCGTCCAGTCATCATCTTCATCCCCTATGTGCGTTCAAAATGGGTTTTTGTTTCCCCCTTCTCGGCAAATCCTAAATTCCTTTGTCCGGGCTTTTGGATTACCTCGGAGCTCGTCGAATCGGCCCCGGCCGGGGCACGGGGCCGTGGCCAGGCCCGGCGCCGACCCCTCGGCCCTGGCCTTCGCGTGCGCCCCCGCGACTCCCGCGAGGACTTCGGCGGGGGGGGGGCGGCCGGGCGCCCGCTCGGCGGCGAGGCAGGAGGGGGGGAAGCGAGCATGGCCAGGCCTTCCCGGCAGGCTCGGGAGTCCCCTGGCCTTGCGAGAAGCTCTCTGAGACTCCCCCCAATGATGGGCCCGTTTTCCACCACCACCACCACCATAAGTTCGAGGGGGGGAGGAGGCGGAGGATGAGGATGAGGATGAGGATGAGGATGAGGATGAGGATGAGGATGAGAAGGAGGAGGCGGAGGAGGAGGAGGAGGAGCTCCAATTGATGGTGGTGGTTGTGGTGGTGGTGGAAAACAAGCCCATCACCCAAGACACGAAAGCTTCTCGGAGGGCGCGAGGGCTTCTCAGAAGCCCCGCCGGCCTCCTCCTTCCCACTTCCCGCGCCGCGCCCCCCTCGCTCGCCGCCGAATCTGGCTCTGGCCATCGCTCGGACGTCCATTCGATGTGTTTCTTCAGTTTCGTGCGTGGTTTTTTTTTTCGCCAAAGGATCGAGGATGCTCCTCGATGGTCCTCGCCGACACGCGCCCGAGCGATGCCAAGGGCCTGGGGGCCACACCTCCGGCCTCCGACGGGCGCTCGCGGCGACCCGGGGCACCCCCGGAAAACGCCCGCGGCGAGGCGCCGCTGCTGCAACGCACCCCGCCCGCCGCCGCTCTCGACGTCTCCCGCCCGCCGCCGCGCGCCGCCCGCGCGGCTCCCGCGCGGCGTCGGCGGGGGGGGGGGCGGCCTGGCGTCCTCGAAGACCTTGAGGAACTGCTGGGCGCGGTCCCAGCCCGCGGGGGGCTGCGCCCGCACGACCTCGAAGACGACGGGGAGGCCGTGCCAGCCTCTGCAGAAGGGGGGGGGGGGCGGGCCGCCGGCCGGGCGTGCAGTGCCCAGAGGGGAGGCGGCACTCCCGGGAGGCCCTCGTGCGAGAGCGAGGGCGGTCGGGCCTGCCGTCGACCCGTAGCAGAGGGGTGCGCGGTGAGGATGCGAGGGCCTGCAGTCGACCCGTAGCAGAGGGTCACGTCAGCGTCTCTCGAACGAGGTTGGCCAGCGAGCGCCGCCGAGGATGGGCCGAGGAGGCAAGGATGCACGGGTACCCTTGGGAAGGCTGCCCGTCCTTGACTGTGCGGGTCGACTGTGCAGCCCTCCTCGAGATCAAACGCAGATTCTTAATGTCGATCGACGCGCGAAACGCGGCCCGCGGGGTCAGATTTTGGCGCTTCTAGTCGCCAGTTCTGGCGCGAATATCGAAAGTGTTGGGTCCTCGGGCGCCGCCACGTCGCGGGAAAAGCTTGCGTTTGACTTCGAGGAGGGATGTAGGACAGAAGGGGATCTTTGAAGAGCATGAGACCCTCCACCGGCGCAAGCTGAAAAGAGCATTCGGGGGCGCCCTCCCCCAGGATGCAAGAAAAGCATCCAACAAACACAAGGATCATCAGGGCACCCTCCCCGAACCGGCCTCGACCTTAGACCTCGGTCCGACCGTGGGGGCTACACGCCGGTCGAAAGAAGCAGGTAAACACATGAAGTGGGCAGGCGGATAAAGGAGGTTGGGCTCAGGCCCTCCCAGAGCCTAACAAAACACAGCAAAAGCATGTCGACTCTTGAAGTAGGAAGGCGCTGTTGAAGTAGATTGGGATCTGGAAATCCCAAAATGCATACTTTCAACGATCGGCGTGTAAGGAGCCATAAGCCCGTATTTGCCTGGATTCGGCCCAAGAGCAAAATTAAACGGGATGAGGCGGATCTCGCTGGATTCGGCCGGCTGTCGACCACGCGTTGCGCCAGCGCCGACGCGGAATGCAACCTCCCAGGAGTTGCATCCTGAGCACCCTGACCTCCTGGAGTCGCCGAACAGAAGCTCTGCGTGCTCGTTGCTGCTGCTGCTGCTCCTTCGGCCTCGGTAGGGGACCACATGCGAACCCTACCCCTACCCCCCACGATTTCTGAGGGGGAGGGTGGGGTCCACTTCGCCCCCCACGATTTCTGAGGGGGAGGGTGGGGGTCCACTTCGCTCGGGAGCTCCCGAACGGAGTGAACCCCACCCTCCCCCTCAGAAATCGTGGGGGGTAGGGGTAGGGTTCGCCTGTGGCCCCCTAATCGAGCGTGCCTGTTTTTTGTTTGCTCGATTAGGGGGCCACATGCGAACCCTACCCCTACCCCCCACGATTTCTGAGGGGGGAGGGTGGGGTCCACCTCGCTGGGGAGCTCCTGAACGGAGTGAACCCCCCCAGAGGTCCCTCGCGTCCAAAATTTGGACGTGAGTTCTATCATGTTGCTCAAGTCCATTTTTTGGACTTAATCAGGGTTCATTGCGCTTTGCAGCGATATGAAGTGATATCATACATATGTATAGAAAAATACACAATAAAATCACACGACGCCCATAATTGTTCACATTTTCATGTCACACGCACACAATTTACTTCACACTCACACAGACACACACGTTCGCGCACACACACACACACACACACACACACAAACACACACACAAACACACACACACACACACACACACACAC